TCTCAGCCCTTTCAATCCTTTACCCAGAGAAAGATACTTCAGGTTCAACGTACAGCAAGGAGCACAAGATATTTCTTTGTTTCACTATGAAAAATTGAAAGAAATTCGCGCCCATACAACTCAGTAAGTCATTTGCTGGCCTTGTCTAACGGGTCGCACCTCACACCAATACAGTTATCTCAATCATGGTACTGAGGGTTTAATGAGGGTTGACAGGATGGTTGACCAGGTAGTCAGATTCTTGATGTCGGATTAGCAGGAAAGATCGGAAATATTGGTGAAACCATATTATTCCTAGTGTCTTGGTTCTTTTATATATTCTATGGGATATGCACGTTATATATTTCATAAACTTACATATTGTATGAGCCATAATAAGTTAGGTATTTTCGAAGCGGCCCGAAGGTGGTGAGGGACTGCCCAAGCCTTCTTCCTGCTCTCCCTGCCTTCATGCAGCTGGTCTCTGTTCTGTTGTACGTAAGACTTACTTGGAGTCATATCTCTTTATAATGACCCCTCAGACTATTTCTCAGTTTATTTTTTCGAATTTGTCTCGCATATCAGCCTCTTGCAGGCCGCGGTGACGCGGCATCGCAGTCGTTCCAATGTCATCCGTTTGGGCTCTGCGAGCCATGTCCTGAGGACTCTGTTAGTGTTTATCTCGGAACGTGTCAAGTCCCATACAACTTATGCACCGTACCCTACAAAGCTGCACGAGCCTTTCTGCCAACCTTTTGGAAACCGCCGGTTGATGCACTGTCTCCCTAGTAATAGCACCAGTGCTACACCACATGGTCAGGGATCACATCCAATATTAGGAGAAATCCCCGCTTGGGAAACTTGCGGCCGCATAGTAGGACAGGAGACTGCTGACTTTTGGGAATTTGTGGTAAGTAATCATTTCCATAAATATCTGTGATCTATAATAATAATACTCGAATATAGCTTTGTATGGGGGGGCTTTCACTAGTTTCCTTGTTCATTCTCTATACCCGCTCACGTAGGGTAACTGCTTTACGACGCAAAGCTTTGGTTGCCCGAATAGGAATCCATAGACCTTGGTAATCACCGATGTATTTTCCGCCTATTTAACCATACTATAGCATACTATTTCACGCGCCTAGGGATCGCCAAGGCTCAACATTACAATTAGTCTCCGAACACAAATGCGTGACTTGGCTAATACTAGAAAGATGCCAAAGAGCGTCTGCTGTCATATGGCTGATCATCAATCATCCTCATCAGTGTCATAATCACCATCGTCTCCATATGTCCCATGAGCTTTCGACAAATGGGCATAAATGGTATCCGCAGTAAATTCGAGCCCATCAATATAACAGAAGTGGGCTCCACAGTTACAGGTGATGTGATTACACCCGTAAGTCTTCTGGACGAACACCCCGCATCTGGGACAAGGGGTGATCTTGGCCATTTTGGTAGATTTAACGGCTCGCAGCTGGTTGTTGACTGCTGCCAATCTTGCCTCGTCTCTTGCAGCACGCAGCGCTTCAGCTTCGGCCCGTAGACGCGCCTCTAGTGCGGCTCTTTGCTCCGTACAATCCTCACAGACGAAATCCCGGATGTTTGGCAACCCGGCGTCAGCGCACGCTCGTTCGACAGCACGCTTAGCAAATCCACATGTCACACACCACGCATAGTACCACGCTCTGTCGGCAATAGCAGGGGCCAGATCACCCACAGACAATGCAGTGGGGTTGTATTTGGTGAGGATTTTGATCGTCGGCTTTCTACGGCAGAAAGGACAAGCTAGTTGAAGAGGATTCAAAAGTTTACCTGGCCCGTTTTCTCCGTACCAGCGGGCGAGACAATCTTCGTCAACCCTTTGCCTGCAACCGCTCCTCCCACAAGCGGGAAGTAGTTTTTCATAAGGAATATCGTCGAAGCAGAGAGAACATGTGCCTTTCTCTACTTCCCCAGATGCAACTCGCCCTTCGATTTGTAGGCGGACAACGTCCGCATTGAATATATGCTTGGAATGTAGCGTAAATTCCTTATCTGCAGGAATGCCCGTGAATGCCGCGGCACCGTGCTTGGAGAAAATCTTGAACGCGGAGTGGTTGTGGAATAGATCGAAATCGGGATTGAACCCAAGCCATGCCGTACCGTTTTCTGCCGCCAATGCTTGAGTGCTCGTCTCCTCATCTACCTTTGTCGCCTTTCCAGACTGGCAGGCGAAGCATTCGAACTGATCATCCTTGCCTTCGCGATATTCTTCGGGAACGACGATGCGGTTCGTGCATTTACAGCATGTGACCCATGGACATTCGATGCCCTGGCGACAATAATGGCACTTGGGTCTGACCCTGAGGCCTCCAGCATTGACAAGAGAATATTGTGCCCTGCAGGTAGAGACGGCACATTCGACCCATTTGATCTCTTTCTCCTTTGGCTCTGGATAATCGGCTCCTCCAGGAGGGAGGTCCTTGGCGCCCTTGACCTTGCGGGCAATGGCATCCAGGCGATCTTTTTCGTACTGACAGAGTCCACATACTCGGTTGGCGGAAAATACATCGGTGATTACCAAGGTCTATGAATTCCTATTCGGGCAACCAAAGCCTTGCGTCGTAAAGCAGTTACTCTACGTGAGCGGGTATAGAGAATGAACAAGGAAACTAGTGAAAGCCCCCCCCATACAAAGCTGTATTCGAGTATTGTTATTATAGTTCACAGATATTTATGGAAATGATTACTTACCACGAATTCCCAAAAGTCAGCAGTCTCCTGCCCTACTATGCGGCCGCAAGTTTCCCAAGCGGGGATTTCTCCCAATATTGGATGTGATCCCTGACCATGTGGTGTAGCACCGGTGCTATTACTAGGGAGACAGTGCATCAACCGGCGGTTTCCAAAAGGTTGGCAGAAAGGCTCGTGCAGCTATGTAGGGTACGGTGCATAAGTTGAATGGGACTTGACACGTTCTAATATAAAGACTAACAGAATCTTCAGGACATGGTTCGCAGAGCCCAAACGGATGACACTGGAACGACTGCGATGCCGCGTCACCGCGGCCTGCAAGAGGCTGATATGCAAGACAAATTCGAAAAAATAAACTAGGAAATAGTCTGAGGGGTCATTAGAAAGAGATATGACTCCAAGTAAGTCTTACGTACAACAGAACAGAGACCAGCTGCATGAAGGCAGGAAGAAGGCTTGGGCAGTCCCAATTCACCACCTTCCGGCCGCTTTCGAAAACACTTAATTTATTGTGGCTCCTACAACATCTAAGTTTATGAAATATATAACGTGCATATCCCATAGAATTTATAAATAAACCAAGACATTAGGAATATATATGGTTTCACCAATATTTCCGATCTTTCCGGCTAATCCAACATCAGGAATTTGACTACCTGGTCAACCATACTGTCAACCCTCATTAAACCCTCAGTACCATGATTGAGATAACTATACCGGTGTGAGGTGCGACCCGTTAGACAAGGCGAGCAAATGACTTACTGAGTCGTATGGGCGCGAATTTCTTTCAATTTTTCATAGTGAAACAAAGAGATATCTTGTGCCCCTTGCTGTACGTTGAACCTGAAGTATCTTTCTCTGGGTAAAGGATTAAGAGGGCTGAGG